ATATATATATGAGAAATGTAATTTCAGATTCTTAGACAGGAATCTAAGTTTTCTACACTTTGTTCCGTGCATAGGGCCCTAAAACAATTCATCATTCTTGATCTCTCTCTAGAGAGAAAGGGATGATTTGTGAATTGATATTCTAGGCTTGGAACATTCTTGGTTACATCTTGCCCTTCGCTATAAACCACACCATGACCCTTCTCCTATCCCTTTGTAGACTGGTGCCCTGTACTTCAGTCTGGAAGATTCAGACAGTAGAAGAAGCTAATTGGTCTTACTACAGTCAATACAGCTAGGTCTATAATCCAAGATTCTCCTATCAACAGCCAAACATTAGCTCTCAATTTCTCTATTAGAAATAATCATCTTAACATTCATATACATGAACTCTTGGCATAGTCTCTCAATTGGATTATAAATTCATGAAGAAGTAATATGATAGATCTCTCTCTTTAAGTACATATGTGTTTGTATATAGATATGTAGGCAGATGAGAGATCATAGATAGATAGATAGATAGATAGATAGATAGATAGATAATTGTTTGCCTAAGATAATAATGTAATACCTTAAAACATTTTCTTTTTTTGAATATGTCCCAATATATGGTACTACAATAATTAGGACATTAACACAAAGTCTAAGGTCATAGTTCTTAACCTATGGGTCACTACCTCTTTATGGTCAAATGGCCTTTTCACAAGGGTCTTATGTGAGATATTTACATTATAACAGTAGCAGAATTACAGTTATGCAGTCGCAACAAAAGTAATTTTATGGTTGGTGTTACCACAATAAGCTACCACATTAAAGGGTTGCAGCATTAGGGAGATTGAGAACCACTGGTCTAAGGAACGGCAACTGAGTTTTTAAAGATCCCTTAGCAAGTTAATGTAAGTCTTAGGTGTACAAATAGGACTCTTGAGTCAGTATCTGCCTTCTGGACTTCATAAATCTTGAATAACTGGGAGAAAACATTTAGAATGCACAAACAATACTTTTCTTTAAGACTATGCCGAGCATGAGGCAGGGACTGCCTCAAACTATCAGTTTTCAATATACTGAAATCTGTTGCCATTCTTGAGGTACAAGGAAGCATACTCAATTTTCCTTATTATATTAAAAAACTCACTGGGGAATCTTGGCTATTCAAATATTACCTGAGTCTAATATATAAATATTTACATATTATTACATAATTCACATAATTATTACATAATTTTTATGATTCCATTATTTTGTTTCTTTTTTATACTTTACATACAATAGTTTTACATATATTGTTACAGTCTACCATAGAATTTTCTGAAGATTTTATAAAGGCGAATTTTTGATATTTTTACTTTTTATCAGCTGTATATGGCCGTTATTACAAGTCAAACAGAGAATCTGGACTTCATAGTTAGGGTTTGTTACTATTTAGTTCTGTTTTGCTTTTACCTCTTAGAGTCAAATTGAACAACTTTCCTCTATGCTTTACTCCTACTGTTAATAATGTTAGTAGTAACAAACCACAAACTCCCTCTTGTAGCAAAAGCAGGTGTTTCTCATATGCATCTTGTCAATGCTGTAGTTGCTGAAGGTATTATGAACCCCAAGAGAAAACCCCAAAGCAACTGACTTGTCCATGTCATTTTTAATGTGGTTTATCCCACATGAAAAATGAGAATAAAATGCTTCCCACGGTAAGAGATTGGTCTGGGGATCACTTGCTAGGATGCTATTGCAGCCTTCAGGAAGCACTGTGTGAACCCCAGCACTGCATACGCCAGGAGTGAGGTGCATGCTTATATCCCAGCACTCAAAAGGCTGATGGTCATAAATAATAGGTTACCACTAGCTAAGTAGTGAGTTCCAGAGCAGACTGGGATAGATGAGTTCCTATCTTGAAAACAAAAGGAAACCAATGTTGATCAGTACAGAGCAAACCCTACAGTGAAAAGCTCCATCGGGTCATTTGTCATTGATGTGTGTACCTATCATTGTGTTGGATATCGAATAAGTACATCTTTATCAAGCATGCCCATATAAGTATATTTGAATATGCCAATACTTGTATATTATAAATATACAACCATTCTCTATCCTTCTATTATGAACTTACTGAAACTTCCGAAACAAAATCCCCCGCCATGAAAATAGATCACAGCCCGTCTTGGGGCTTCTGACTTCCTCTTGGGTAAGTACAGACGCACAGGGATGTTGACAAAGGCTGTATCCGTTACTGTGACGTGTTCATCTGAAAGTGGTTGTGTATAGTCCAGACTGATAATCATGGAAATAAACTCTTCATATCTCATAACACCTACATTTTCAAGACTCAGAGCCTATAAAAACAAAACAAAATTAGCAAAATAATTCAGCATTAGATCTGTAATATCAGACAAATGTGAAGAGAATGTTTAGAAGAATAAAACTGAAAAAAAATAAATGAGTAGAAATAAAGTAAAATTATTCTCAAATAATATTATGAAGATCTTATTGGGTGACCCTTCTGCTTTTGAAAATCTCAGGTGTTTTCAATTAAATATCATTCATAAAAGCATCTCTGCTCACATTTTAAAGCCTTTTTGTACTTGTTATTCAGTTATAAATTCATAGTAAAAATTATGTCTTATAATCCTTCTAATTTTGAGGGTTGTCATATTTCCATCTAAAGTTATTTTATTTAATTCAATTCTTATGTATTATCATATGACCATATTATACGTGATCTGAATTTGATGGATTTTACTCTAAACCATTTTGTTTCCCTAGGCCCATTTCTGTAAAAGTCTTCCTTGATTTAATTGCAGAAAGTTTCCTGTGATTAAGTGACCAGTTTACCTAGGAACAGGGCAATTTACTTAAGGAACAAATCTTAAAAGCTCCACATCCAACGATACTTTATTTATTTACTTATTTACTTATTTCGATTTTTCGAGACAGGGTTTCTCTGTAGCTTTCGGTCCTGTCCTGGAACTAGTTCTTGTAGACCAGGCTGGCCTCGAACTCACAGAGATCCGCCTGCCTCTGCCTCTCGAGTGCTGGGATTAAAGGCGTGCGCCACCATTGCCCGGCCTCCAACGATACTGTGAATGGTCTTTATTAGTGCACCATTACAGCGTAGGGCTGCTAAAGCTATTCTCTACGTTCCGACGAGGGAAATGTGTGCACAAAACTGCAACCGTATGTGTCAAGTCACTCACAACCCCGAGAAAAGCACATATGACCTCACAGAAACTGGAGCAGCAATCACAGGGACTGCACGCATCTACACGTCCTCTGCATTTATACCATAAACTGGCATCCGGCGTAGTGTAGTGTTTTTAAAGAATTCGTGAGTGTGTGAACAAGTGGGTCTCTGGTTCTTGGGCCTTCTTTTGGGATCTTTTCTCCTCTGTTGGTTTATCTTGTCCAACTTCTAGGTGATAGTTTTTGTTTAATCTTGTTTAGGGTAAAAGTTAACCGCTGACCTGTCACTTATTCTTGCTAGGAGAGGGAAGACTCGTTTTCTCCAGGGGAGTAGCACCAGGTACATTGTTCATGCCAGGACAGGCCTCATTTTCAGGAGAAGCTGACCAACACATAATGAACCCCATAGTTTTTTTTTTTTTTGTGTGTGTGTGTGTGTGTGTGTGTGTTTTTATGGTTACAGTTTAGTGGGTTTTATGTTTTTTTTCTCTTTGGGTGTTATTATATTTTGTTTTCTAGGATTTGGAGTTTTATTGCTGTATTGGGTTTGGGGGGGCTGTTTTATTTCTATTTTATTTGTTTATTTCTTCATTTATGTATGAATGCATGCATTTGTTTATTCTTCTGTCATTCAATGCATCCCAACCACAGATTCCCCTTCCTCCACTCTTCCCAACTTACTCCAGCACTTCTCATCGCTCCCAAATCCACTCCTCTGTTTCCCTTCAGAACAGAGCAGGCCTTCTCAGGATATTGGGTTTGTTTCTTGAGAAAGAACTTAGAGTTGGGTGGGAGGGAGAAGGAGAAGATGTGGAATAACTTGGTGGAGAAGAAGAATATCAGCAAAACATATTTAAGTTTAAAAATTATCTTAAATAATAAAAATATAATAAAAACAAATAAAAAAGAAAACAAACTACTGATCAATGTGTTTTCTGAACTTCATTTTCTTTTAAATCCAGGCATTGATTATACCAACAATAAATTTCTTACTGAGCTATATTAGAGTTTAGATGAATCAATATTTTTTAGTGTATATAGCAGTTCATGCTAATATTCAACAAACCTTGCCTCATTGTTTAAGTGTTCTTTATATTAATAATTCTGCAAAGGCCAGTGAGATGTCTCAGTAGGCAAAGGTAGCTACTCCCAGTCATGAACACCTACAAGGCCCATCTGGGGAATGAGGAGCACTGATCCTCACTCAGATCATATCCTGTGACCTCTGCACATACCACAGCCTGCCCTTCCCTCCAACACACACATTATCGAATTGACTATTAAAATAGAAAAATATAGAAAAATAGTTATTGAGTATTTTCTTGCTTATTGAGTATTATCAAATAGATGACCCGTTAATGTGAGTTCTTGAGAAATAAGTATATTCAGATATTCAAATAAAGCCATTTGCTTTTTAAGTTTAAATTTTAGCAATGGCTTTATTTCTTCTATGCCAACATTTTCTGTATGTAAACTGACACTCAAGCATTTTAAGGCTATAACAAGAACTACTAATGCAGATATTATCAGATGCTATTCTAAAATGCCTGACCTTTAATACACAGAACCATCTCCACAAGTATTTGCAGTTAGCATCCTCACTCTTAAGTTAATTGGTATAATGTACAGTCCAAAAACTTTTTCAAGGTTATATGTGGATATTTTTACAAAACTCTTCCAAAACAACTTATGACTGCCCAACAATAAACTTATTTTCCAAGGCTGCATTATAACGAGCTTTAGTTTTCACTTTCCTATGTTAAAAACCAGTGGTTGCTATTGTCTTTGCGACCTTGACTTCCAGAACCCTGTGCTAAAATTCCCAAAAATTTCTAAATTGTCTAGGATGAACGTTAATTATACCTTTATTTGGTCTACTGTCATTTTAGAAGTACAGGATAATATTTTATAATGTAAAGCACAAAAAGTATGTATTTTCATCACAGATAAGTGAGGGCTGGACACATTTGGAGCTGAGAAAGTAACAACAGAGTTTTGCAGTGGGTGTTCCGATAATGAGATGCTGTTGAAAACATGGGTATTTGTCACCCACGGGTTTAAACACACGTGAAATAGTCAAAGGAGAAAGCCCAGAGTTTATCTGCAGAGCGGATAGGGGCTTGATCAGGTGTTCTCCCATTTACTTCAATCAAGGAGCCAGAACATTTGAAAAAGAGACAGCTGTAGAGAAAGTGGAAGTCTCGTGGGACTAGCTGGAAGACCTAAGACTCAGAGACCAGCAACTACAAGTGACTCTGTCCTAGCACAGTGCCTCCTGCTCTTACACCCTGGACTGCCGAATCCTCTAATCATCTCCTAATGTTGCTGCCTTTGATATTTTGCCTCTGTCAACAGAGGGTATTTTTGGAAGGCACCCACTTTGCACATAAAAGAGCACGGATTTGAAACAAGGCAGTTTGGAGCTCAAAATAAAGCTGCTACTCCCTCCCTGTATGCACTCTTGTGAATATTTTTGTCCTGCCCTATGAGCTGAAATATTTAGAAAACAATGGAGATATATGTATATGCAACTAAAGCATATGTATTGCAGTGCCAAAAATGCCAGCTTCTGATGATAAGGGAACTATTTATACATCCATTATGTCCACCCTGCGTCTCCTAAGATAACCCCAGAAATTCTGCAATTTATAATTGAAGGCATACAAGAGAAGCGATGGCAATAAGAAAAATGCTGATCTAATATCAAATAAGTGCTATTATCAATAATTCATATCGTTACACTATAAGATAATTGAGATTGTTTTTTATCTTAGAACCCAAGTGAAAATCAATTTAACAATATTCTTTTAAAAATAGTACTTTTTTTCAAAATTGCATCAGTAGTATTATCAAAGTACTCACAAGTGTTCACTCTTAATCATTGAAAAAATTATATTATTCTTACCATAAGTGTACAAGCTTTAGCAGCTGCATCCAAGGCCATTACTTTCCAAGTTTCTTCAATGTTGTCAGGTATAGGTGTATAAATATAAGATAAAAAGATAACACAAAACAGCCCCAAACAGAGAGTTTTGAATCCCATGGTATCCCGCCTCTTCACAATGCAGGGATTAAAATATTTCCATAAATGTTGAATAAAAAGCCAAAGGATGAGTGCAGACTGGAAACCCTCTCGGGTGATCCAACCATTCTCACAGCGTGAGAATGATTCTCAACTCAAACCTACAGTATCAGTCCTAACTTGTTAGCAAATCCACAAACTCTGAAGCAGATGTTGAAATTCATCAGGTCAGGTACCTATTATTAACATGCAATTAAAATTCCCTAAAGTGTTCTTTCATTCTGTGACACCAAGATCAGCAGAAAGCAGAATCAATACGAGCACTGGATAATTCTTGAAGTTATCTTTTGGGGTTGCAATTTTTTATAAGAAGTTTATAGAAGGCTACTTGATATCTAGTCAAAATATAGGCTAATATTATTACTAAGGATTATTACCTATGCGAGCAGACACTACCTAGTATGGAACAAGCTTTAGATTGAAAGGTAGAGGGTGTGGAGACTTATTCAAGCTCCATCACTCAGCAAGCTAGAATTTCAAACCTAGACCAGAATTACCAGAAAGTTCAGGACAAGTATTTCAGCAAACATTCTGGTTTTTAGAAGGTTGCATAATATGATGATTTGAATTTATGAATCAACACGACTTGAATTAGCTGCGCAGAGTGATAAATATTATACCCGGGTGTGCCTGGAAAGGTGTTTCCAGAACATTGATGTTTTAGTTGGTAGCATGATTCACAGTTGTGGGCAGTTATCATCTGATGTATTGAAAGTACTTAAGACCTTGATGAGGATACCCACTGAAGCATCTTACCTGAGCTCATGGAAGCTCACTCAATCCAGCCTGACTGCAGGGGAGCCAGCTTAAGACCAAACTAGGCACATATGGGTGACAGTTGTGTCTGGGGCAGACTGTGAGGCCACTGGCAGTGGGACCAGGATTTATATGACTTACCCCATTCTCTTTGGAGGGATACCTTGCTCAGTCTAGGTAGAGTGGGGAGGGCCTTGGTCCTACCTCAAAGCAATGTGGCTAGACTTTATTGAATTCCCATGGAAAGCCATATCCTCTCTGAGGAGTGGACAGAGGGTGGGATGGAGAGGAAGGTGGAGAAAGTGGGATGAGGGGAGGACGTGGGAACTGAGGTTGGTATGTTAAATGAGAAAAGATACATTTTTTAAAAAATTAAATTAATTAGTTTAAAAAAGAAAGAGCAAATAGAAAAATATAAAAGCATCATTTCACTCCTTTTTCTCTCTCCTTGAGCATGTCTTGTTTTAACTCTAATCATATAAACGTTGCTTCCACCTGCTGTCCTTGTCTTGAGCTTGTCACCTTTAATCCATGTTTTTGAGAATGTTTCCACCCAGTTCCTGTTTTTAAGTCCCCCTCACCCTGAAGCTCTCAACCTCCTTATGTTGTTAGTTTTGAGCCCGGTGAACTTTCTGATGTAATTCCTGTATCCTGTGAGTAATTATTTGTTCTCTTTGAATTAAGTGGTGCCATCCAATCTCAGGAAACCTGCCTACATACACCCCCACACTTCAACAAAGGATTCTGTCCACATGCCCACTCCTCTGTCTTTTGCTACCTGTTGGCTAATTGAAAGACCATATACCTGAAGGACACTCTAGTACTGTTGTCCCTATGAAATTTATTTCCCCTCTTTTCCTAGGATCATTAAGTAAATAACCTTGTTTTACTTGTTTTTCATTTAGAAAATCACATAAGAACTCTTTATTTCCTGTCCTTGGATGTCAAAGTTTCTGGTTATTGGTATGTAAGAGTTACAGGCTTACACCACAGCCCCTGTCCCTTGAGTCCCCAGGACTTTAGGCTTGTACTGACTTACATGAGCGGCATCTCTTGTTCTCCAACATGTAAATAGAAGACTGCAGAACTTTGCTTCTACAACAACATCAGTCAGTCCAAGTATTTTATTTAGACCCCTGCTTTATAAGGGGGTGTGTTTCATGTATTAGAAGCTGACAGCTTGTCTTCTACAGAATTATCTTCTTCAATCATGAGTCCAAACCAACCTTTCTTCCCTAAGTCATTTGTTAGATGCTCTATAACAGCAACAAGAAAAGGAGTTAACACAATGCTCCCTTATCAGACAGTAAATCCCATTTTTTGTTTTGGTTTCTTGTTTTGATTTTTGGTCTTTTCATCCTCCAAAGCTGTGAGGAACAAATCTTTGTTATTTCTTGTCCATTTCATATATGTTTTCTATAATATTTTATCTGAATAATCTAAGACAATCCCAAACCATAGTGATTGTCTCACTATTCCATATAAGGGTAAATATTAGGTGACCAGAAGGGACTGAATGCAGGTAAGGAAATGAGTCATGAAAGAAACAGAAGAGCTATCTCCTCTTTGATAAACTGCCTTATACCTTTATAATAAATCAAAATAGTTGTGGATGGAAGAAGAAGGGAAATATCTACCTTTCAATATTTTGAGTTATGGAGTTGAAAATCTTTTAAATATTTTGCATCTCTACTTTGGCTACATAAAGGAAAAAAACCGTTATTATATTTGAACTCTTCTGAAAAATTTAATTATACATGTCATTTTGAAGAAGTTATAGCATGTCCTGATAAAATATAATCTTTATATAGAGTTATTTTTATATCTCCATGAGAACCATAAATTTTTATTTTTCAGAAAATTATGTATTAGATTTAATGGTACAGAATATTCCAGTCCTTAGTTACTGTAGTACTGTTTACAAGTCAATATGACATTTATTTTATGTGTAATATTTATAACTTCTTATACATTTTATGTTGCTTTATATTGAATGTAGATGTTTTGAATTGATTTATGATATTTTATTTTATTGATTCAATCTTGATTCTGAGGGTTTCCTGTTGCACAGCTATTGTTATATTGTTGTACACCATACAACTGTAAATGGATGTTATAAAGGAGTCCCCCACTAGCTCAGAATTGAGTATAATAAAGGCTCCTCTGCACTACCAGGGAACAGGAGCCGAATTCAGCTACTGAGAGACAGGGCACAAGCTTTACAGCTGCATATAGGAAACCACACCCAAGTGGGCTGGTATCTTCAAGACTCTTGGCTACAGGAGATCCCACAGCATACAACGGCTGAAAACAATGAGTGAGTGGTGATTCTTGCCCAGTCCTAAAACATAACTGCTAAGAACATTATATATAAACAGTGGTTTTGGCTTCTGATGAGATTATGACCTATAACTCCAGGTCAAGTGTCACACTATCTCTGGGTTGAGAAAGAATGAATGTCGCAATCAGACTTGATATCATCTGTCATCTCATTACATTTGGTTTTCCATAAATGTTGTTTGATGATGGTTTTATTATGCCATTATTTACCATAACTGGACATAATTCTGTTTTACAGGATTGTGGGGTTTTTTTTAAACATCTACACATTATTCAATGATTATTTCAATTTGATTAAAATTTAAAGTATACTTTCAGGGATAGGAAAGTCACCACACTTGATTATTAATAATACTAACTGTGAAATTATTCTTCTAATGTTAAGGAGATATTTTATCCATTGGCCAACAGTGAATTAATACTCCCTGCCATGCCTGCCTTAGGTAACCACTATGCTATTGTCATCCATGAGACCAACTTTTTTATTGTGTTGTTTCCTTTTTGCAGTTCTGGGGCACTAGACTAGGGACCTTGCTCCTGCTAAACCAGTGTTTTGCACTGAGCAGTGTCTCTACACCTTATGAGACAAACTTTTACCGATGACAGTGTCTTGCTTTTCTCTGCCTTGTCTTTTAGTTAAGCAATGTCTTCCATGTTCATTCATATCCTGGAAAATGACAGACTTTTATAATTATGTTATGTTTAAATAGTTTTTGTCTTTTGCATATGGGTACTACCTTTTCTTTATTCCTTTGTCCAAAGATAGGCATTTAATGCGACTCTACATCATAACAATTGTAACAGCATCACAATACGCAGGTGGATGTAGATACCCCTTCAATATACTGATTTCATTCCCTTTGCCAATATACCCAGAAAAGATATTTATGTATTATATGGTAATGGTTATCCTAAATATTTTAGTCTACTTTCGCAACTTCTATAACTGCGGAAACTCACCCGTCACCTCATTAAAAGAGAATATAGCTTCCATTTTCATCACAACCTCACCAAGGCTTTTTACCTTTAGTATTTTCAGTAACCTAAATTCTCCCAGGAGGGGAAGTAATGCTTTCATTTGCATTTCTCTTGGAACTGGTAATGTTCAAAAAATTTCTTCCTAGGCCATTTGTGCCTCTTCAATGAAAAGTCTGTTTCAAACATTTACACCTTTTCAAAATCAAATTATTTTTTTCTTTTCTTGGGTTGTTTAAATTTTGGGACATTAAATTAAAATTTGGGACATTAACCCCACCCAAAACAAGCTCACCGTGCACTGATAATTACCTGTCCAACACTGTTGGAACAGAAAATCCAACCACAATGCAGGCGAAGGACATAAAACAGCCTCCCACTATACCGTTCCCTGAGAAACAGTAAGGAGATCCTAGGCTAACACACTGAAGGACCAAAAGCTGGGCCTACTTCCACCAGATCCCCATATCTCAAAACACTCTGTCCTAACAACATTCTGGAGTTATGCTTGAGAAATTCAAACAAACAAGGGGAAGACAACTGTGGATGTAGCTCAGTGGTAGCTTGCCTGGTTTCCAGGAGGTGTTAGACGCATCCCAACAGGACAATAAAAAAATAAATGAGTGTGTACATGATGTGGGGAGCAGGGCCAAATGGTGTTGTGTAGTAGATCCTGTTTTATGTGTCCAGATTCATGTATGAGATACTGTCTCATTAGTTTAATAGAACACCTGAACTGACAGTCAATGAAACTCCATTGAGCTATAACCAAAACACATTTCAATATACTTGAAGCAGCAACAACTGTTGCAAGAATGATGGTTAGCCTTGCCTGTGGCAGTGACCTAACCTAGAACCCCAGAAATCCATGTAAGAAGTTGCCAAAAAAGGTCAAAGTAGCTTCTTCAGATAGTCCCGCTGTGTAGCTGGTGGGCCTCCCTCCAGATAACCTCTACTTGGGTTTTGAAAATACCCTAAATGCCAATCTACGTATATCCGCAGGTTTGGCAACAGCACACCTATATACTTCACTAAGCCTATAGTGGGAAAAGCAACTTTCATGTTGAAAATCATCCCTTGGGAGCAACAGGGCGTGTCTATGGTGTAGCAGGCAGTAGAAGTGAAGCAAGCAACATCTACTACGATCAGGTGAGTGTTTCTTAATGCTTTCACGAGCCCTGATTCTTCTGTATGGTGTCAGAGATCTGAACACACGTAAACTCCAAGCCAATTATACCTCTGGAGGGGCCTGTGAAGCCTAATAAACAGCTTCAGGCCACTCACCTCATCCCCAAAGCTGGCAAAACAAAGATCTTTCCAGCATCACCTTGCTAGCCTTGCATCTGAGTTGATTCTGGACACAGGTAAAGGTACATCTTCCTCAATTTTTTCTTCAACGACAAGTTCATCAGTAGGGTAGTATTGGTAATTGACAGCTGGTGGGAACCACACGGTTGGCCTGACCTAGCTGCCTTGAAAGGCATACATTATAGGTTTCTCAGGTTAGAGTTCGTGGCTCCTGGGCACCGTGTGCCTTTTCAGTTCCTGAGGAACTGAGGTACTCCTCAGGCAATGTTCAGGCTGCTATGTATGGTCTCTTAGAAGTTAAGGCAGCATGGATGTTTAGCAAGACAACTTGTCTCAGACATTAATCTTGTGTGCCCAGGAGAGCTTGCAAACATCATTGTATCTGGCAACTACAACTGTATTGATTGATCCTGGCAATTGCCACCGTATTCTGTTTCTGATAATGGTATAAAAAGTCTGATTGCTTTCAATAAAACTTGTCACACAGCCTCGGTCTTGCTGTGGTCCCTCCAATTCGAGCCTGGCTTAATTTCTTGCTGGCCATATCAGGTAATCTTGTCCCGGTAAATAAACACAGGCTTACAGACAGCTATAATTCAAATCAGTTAAATGGCATTGGTTTTGCTCACTCGTTGCTGTTTGTTAATTTGCTCTGATGCTGAGAAGTCCTTGTTATGAGTGTTGCTTGGATAGTTCACCAATATATTCTCAGCTTTTTGCTTGAATTTATTAGCTAACCAAGGGTGGCTTTTTTTCCAACTTTGTTATATTTTCTATTAGTTGATTAAATTAGACTGGCCTCATCTAGGTGCCTCCTGTGAAGTCAGAGACAGATGCTCTTGGTAATCCAAATCTCATTCTCTGGTAGATAGCTGTAGCAAGAGCAGAATTATGTAGGTGACCACTGGCAGGATGAGAGAGTCTCTGTGGTATGGGACAGAATGAGGTCTGGGATAGTATATCTTACACCTTGTGAAGATGTCTACAGTAGCCACAGGTAAAGCTGCGGATGGTGCCATGTCTTCAGTCTTTCCTACGACACACTTGAAACGGTCATGGCATCTTAGTGATCTGCCCAAAGACCTGAGTATTGCCTGCCTATTGATAAAATCAGATTGGGTTGTCTCAGTTACCTTGTCTTAGTTAACGAGTCCCAACTCCACTGAAGCATTGATTATCCAGTGTCCTGTTGCTTGAACCTGGACTTTCACCTTTGTGAACTTAGCTGTGTCCTGCCATCACAAGTGTGCAAGTGGTTGTTTAGAAAATTGTTGTAGACATTCCATAGTAAGAACAAAGAATTGAAGATCCAGGAATGACGTAACACGAATCCATAAAGAGATGTCATGGATGAATTATACAGAGCTCCCTTTGGGATGGGAGAGATTCTAAGTTGGGAGTTTGCTAATCAGGCTCTGGGCTGGGTACTTTATGAGGCCCCTGCATCCTCCCCTCTCCTCAATTGGTTATGTTTAGATACAGACTTCTGTCCCCACCCCAACTATCTTCCTCAAATATCTTCTGGAACAAGAATCTGCCACCTGAGGGAACCCACTTTCACTTTCCATGTCTGCCTATGTCTTTTTAACCCTCTCTTAATTTGGGATTAATAGTAAATGAAGAGAAGAAATTCTCATCAAGTTGGGTTTGGTATAAGTTGACCAATGTTCCCTCTCTTGTGCAAATGGAGCAGGCAGAGTGATGTTACTTAAGATGTTACAGTGTACAAACAATAGGAAAAAAAACCCTTTAGTCAACCTTTCCTGATATTCATGAAACAGCTTAGTGTCTAAATGAGAGGAAAGTGGCTCATAAAATGAAGTCTGAGAGATTAGTGAGAAGGACATGTTTGAGATTAACAAAAATGTTCAAGCTGCAGAAAAGCACTAATGAAAATATGTTTTGAGATGAAAGTCAGATTACCAACTAAATCGCTTAACGTCCACTTCACAAAGTTTATTGAACATTAAGAAAAAGCACAAACAGGTCAAACAACCACACTTAAGCAGCAGAACCACCAGGACATCAGAAAAGTAAACACTGATTTCATCACTTCCCAGTGGAAATACAGATATTTATGAGTTGATTTGTACTGGTGGGATTATGGGTCACATCATCACAGGAAAGTAAACAGGCCTGGAGATCACCACTCAGATAACTCCCTGGATATGCAGCCTCTGTGTGAACGATGATTCACCACAAAAATTCAAAAGAATATTACAAATAACTTTACCTACACTCCACAGTTGGCTGGGTACTTTCATGCATCAAGACACATGGTCTATCAATGAATGCAACTCACATAGGCACCTTCAAGTTTGATCATACAAAAGTTTAGGTACATTCCTTTTTTGTTCAAAATTATTTTTTTCATACAATATACTCAGAATTTGGTTTATAACTGTCTGGAATCTCCAGCACTTTTACATGTAATCACACTTAAAGTCTTTCACTGATCTACTGATTACTCAAGAATACATGCTTCACAACAAATGACAATTAATGGGAATAAAGAAGTATATATGCTCATTTAAGCAATGTCATTAAGATTGAAAAGATAAAGCAGTTTTCTTAAACACACCCATCAATCTTCATTCAAACTGAAATGTAGTTTGATCTAAAAGTCACATCATTTTGTTCTCATTCGTCATACAATAGTTCAACACATAACATACAGGTTACTCTACTGATGAGCTAGCTACGTGTACCATTAATTTCACTAATTTATAGATTTTCTTCTAACCAACTAATATACTTGTCTCTTATTCTTAATCCTAAATGTAAAAACACTGGAGCTCCAGTAAAGGATAGGGCTCCATGGACTCCTTCCTCTAAATGGTCATGAGTAACTTGGACCCCAACATTTCTAAGCCGTGTGACGTAAATGAGACTATCGTCTCTTATGAGATCATGTTCACATGTGACGACATAAGTTAATGGCAATCCCTGTAACTGGGAGTCATTGGCTATCAAAGGTGACAGTCTGTTATCCACAAGTGCTGGATAAGTAGCATTTAGTTTTCCAAGGACGGGCTCCCTGTAAACATAGTTCTTTTTGTATTTCTCAGGAAGGAAGTCACTCCAGTTAACAAACTTGAACAGGTCTCTTGACCCCGGTGGCATGTGCTCATTTCTTAGTAAGGCCTGGAGCAGAGTTTTGTCTTCAGTCACATACAAGCTTGCCAACTTAATTATCATCTCCCTGGACACAATGGGACCATGTTCGTACTCTCGATGTGATGGCAGAGAAGTATCAAGCACTTGTAGGCCAGGGTATATCAAAGCTTGTGCCTTAATTCTGTCTTTGAAATCTAGATCATTCTGTAACTAGAAATATAATGGATATTAATTAACCAATAGTTTTCAAACAAAGGGATTTGCAGTTCACTTTAATAGCCTGAGATAAATAAATTTACTTATCTGAAACACTATTTAGTGATATTTCTCACAATATTTGCACATTGACTGAGAGATATAAGAGTGTGGAATTCCACTGTCATATGTCCAGAAACAATGTACACTCTGTTCCTCACGCATTTATTCACAAATAACAATCAAACAGGAAGGTGATCAGCCACATCCTAGTGACGATGACAGGAGAACTATGTTTATGACGTTAAATTTTTTGCACATTCATTTGTCTTAGAAATTTAGCTTTTGTTGTTCAGAATAAAGATGTGTTGTGTGTCTCAGTTCGTTCTGGAACATACTGTCCCTCTCTCTCAGTCACCCAAGTGCTCTAATAACAAGCATGTATTACCAAGTCTAGTTTCCCTAAAACCACTTTTGACCTAAGCAATATAATCAGCAAAATCCACAAATGAAATGAGATACAACTGCCAAAACTCACACATAAAATCAAATGGAATTATGGCATGCTTAAGAAAACACTATTTATCTAAGTAGTATGGTGTGTTAGATGCGATAGACAATATAGAGAAGAATTTATGAAAACCAGAAGAGCGGAAAAGGAAATGGAATGTTGTACATGTAGCCTCTGTTTCTTACCAGAAATAAGAGGAGTCCTGAGTCTCTAGCTACATGCTTGTACACTCCACATCAGTAAACCTAGCCTTCAACTGTGGTCATGAGTATTTAAACAGCAGCAGCCTCTCTATAGCTGCTCTGCAGCAGTGACTCTATCTACTGCCATTCTTTGGGTATTCCAAGGTATACAAGTATTCTCAAGACCATGTCCTCATAAAAACAAAGAATGTGCACAAAATGAAAGAAGTACCTGAAGTCTTATTAGCTCATCACAAGGTTAACCATCTCACCAACTTCAAATTGTAGTACAATAGAAAGGAGGTTCTACAAGTGCAGGAAGAAATAAAGAAATAAAATCTCCCGAAGAGAATCTTTCCATGGCCATTATTCTTTACAGTGACTTTGGGATGGGATTTTCTAAATAAAGGAGAGGCTCTCAAAACATTAGCAGACAAGTCATTGTAAGCATAGTGTCCAAACAGAGGCAGGGTCATGTGATAACACTTTCTTATGTAGCAGGATTGGTGCTCCCAAGTGAGTTAGTACAAATTCTTGTACTTGAAGAATACAGAAGAAATGAGAAATTAGAAAAATCAGAGGCTGAGGAGATGGCTCAGTCAGTAAAGTATTCGAGTACAAATGGTCAGAACCAAGAAAGACAGGCACAGCTGCAAATACTTGTTACCGAGCACCATGTAAATAAATGTGACGCAAGGAGACCCCTGAGGTTGCCTGGACAGCCAACCTCGCTGAGTCGGTGTTCTCCAGCCTCTTTGAGAGAAGACAGTCCAAAAGTAAAATAGAGAAGAGAGAGAGAGAGACACCTAGTGTCAACCTCTGACTTCTACATTGGTGATTACACTCGTAAACATGCACATGCTTGTGCACACACATGTGTATACTCACACAAACACGTGCACCCCTACACAGAGACATCATATGAAAATTGTGACATTTAAAGGTGAGAAAACAGAACAGTAGTTCTGGTATTGAAGTTGAAAACCCAAATCTTTTAAATCAGAAGAAGCTGGAACAAATGTCATAGCACACTCCCTTAAAGAGAAGAATCGTGAGGGAGACCATCGGGGTTGCAAATTTTGCCACTCCTATGCTCTCCTGAGAGACTCAATCCCTTCTTTTATCTAATGGCACTGTAATAAATCTATTAAAACTTCATGGCGGTAATATCTATCTTTACTAAATAATCATTTTAAACTTCATTATAAAAAAACTTTTCAAATAAATAGCAATACAAGTACTCATTAACCACTGTATCTTTATTATAAAGTCCAAAATAGTAGATCTCAATGCACTAAAGCACTTCCAGACTATCCTGTGCCAAATCACCTAGAGAGACACTGGTGACAAGTTAAAGGTCCCCTTTTACTGACACTTATAGAAGTGTCAATTATAGAAGAATTGGCAGTGTTTAAATTTACCTAAGACACCAAATACCCAAGAAAAAGCAATGGAAATCTTGACCTTCGCAATTCAGATGGATCACAGAGTCTAACATGGCCCAAAGAACCTGAAATTTGTAGCACAGAAAGGAGCCTTGGTAGCCATCTGTTTTAGAATATTATTTTAAGATGTAATACATTTGTTTGTGCTGTGGAACTCTTTTTTAAAAATGATGCAAATATGTGTTGAATTTTTTATGTTACATTTGTTTAACTCTGTGAAACTGTGATGCTTTGTCTGTCTGAAACATCTGATGGTTTAATGAAGAACCGAACAGCCAATAGTGAGGCAGGCAAAAGGATAGGCAGGGCTAGCAGGCAGAGAGAATAAACAGGAGGAGAAATCAGGGAAGAAAGATGAAGTAGCAAGATAGAACAGGGAGAGGAGAAAATCAGGGGCCAGCGACCCAACTACATACCAAGCCTCAGAGAAAGAAGTAAAGAAAGGTATACAAAAATAGGGACAGATAAAAGTCCAGAGGCAATGATAGAGTGGATAATTTAAGATAAGAAAAATTGGCTAGAAACAAGCCAAGCTAAGGCTGGGCATTTGTAAGAATGAATCAGTCTCTGTGGGTCATTTATTTGAAAACAGGAATAATCAGAAATGGAGCTGAGTATGAGCAAGCACCTCCTTCCGAATACTAGACTTGGGAATAAGAAAGCACAGCCTTCTCACTGTCACAGCCATAGACAACTTCCAGGCCTCCTCCCTCCCTTGCTTCACTGAATATTTCAAGACAGGATCCATTATTGTTGTGAGACAATGGTTTGACCCTGTAAAGATTTGTTTCTTGTACTTTTTTTTTTAATGATGATTGACCAGTAGCCGGGCAGGAAGTATAGGCAGGGTAACCAGCCACAAAGTAGAGGCAGGGCAACGAAAATTCTGGAAAGAGGGAAGCTTCAGTCTGTAGTCATCATCCAGACACAGAGGAAGCAAGATGTGACTGCTTCACCGAAAAAGGTACCAAGCCACATGGCTAACGCAGGCAAGAATTATGGGCTAATATAAGTTTTAAGAGTTAATAAGAAGCCTGAGCTCATATACCAATCAGTTTATAATTAATGTAGGCCTCTGTGTGATTTCTTTGGGACTTAATGACTGCAGGGACCAGAAGGGGCAGAAACCTCAGTCAACACATTATAACACTTTCTTCCCATTAATTGCTCCTTATAAGATGTTTAGTTTCCGAGGAAACTAAAAAGCAATTAATACACCCCTCACCTCAAATGATACAGAAAAATATGAGAATTTTAAAAATAGTTTGTCTATCTAAATTCAGTAAGTTGTGAAGCAAAACAACCCCTTATTAAGATGAATAGAGTTAGTGTAGGTCACAAGAGATCGGTGACTTTTCTCTAACATTGGCAGGGTGAATCAAGGTGAGAGTCAGGGTGACAGTTTTTTTTTTTTCTTTTTATGGCTTTACCACATGACTCTTTATTTCATTTAGTGCTAATAATGTCAACAGTAGTATAACACACCAAATGCAAAGGAGTGACACTGGAGACACAGAGAAGTTCTTGGGTTGCTGAGGCAGGAGGCTCACAAGTTCAAGGCCTACAAAAACAACAGATCAGTTCAGGGAATCTTATCAAAAGCTTTGTCTTGAAAGTCATTGAAAAAGAGAAGGTTCCATGACCCTGTGGTACAGTATCTTCTTGGTAAGCACACTGTCCTGTATACAATGCCCAAAACCTGTCCACCAAACCATAAAATACTAGGACTGATTGTAAAACCCTTCAAACAAAGCCACATTTAAGTAAATATCATTAAAACAAATAATCTTTCCTGTTATCTGAAATTTTATAGATAGTAGTGGAAAAGTAACGTAAATACACCTAAAACACAGGGGTTTTTTTTGCGTGTTAGGATTAAAGCAAATAATAATAACACACACAACATACCAGTTGAATCACTGCTGCCACCAAGGTGCCCCCAGAACTGTCTCCCGTAATACAGATACGAGAGGGATCCACTCCATATTTTGCAAGAACCTTCTCCTGGAGAAAGAACTTGGTCACAAAAACACAGTCTTCAAGGGCAGCTGGGAATTGATACTGAGGAGCAAGTCTGTAGCTTTAGAGGTAAATCAAGCAGAAACACAACAAAGCCCTTATTAAAACTATGCAATTAAATATCTCTCCCTCTCACTAACAGGTACCCTGACATATTGAATAATAAACCTCACTAATTAACACCTAGATGACTGGTAACTTCTGTTTTAAAAGTGAGGAGTAGATTGGGTTCAGCGTTTCAGGTGTCGATTCTAAGGAGGAATGAGTGAGACAGGTGTGTTATCTTTGTGAATCCCATATGCTTCTGTGGCCCTCAGTGTGCTTGGTGACTCAAAAACAATTCAGAATTACTTATGGGATCACTCAATATTTTAAGTAAAGAAAGTATGAGAGTAAATAGGACTGTTTTGAAGAATTTGAAATATGAATATTTTAAGTATACCAGTGGCGCTTACAAAGATTCCTAAGGCTGAAATAAGACTAAATACTATTGTGTTTGTTTGTCTTTGGCTAAGTGTATCTGTGCTCTATCACAGGAACACGCTTTAACCAGACCGTCTCACTTTTTAACTCTATCGACTTCAAATTCATTAGAATTAGTGAATAACTCACATGGCTATATTAAGCAATGTTCGTCAGATGGTTCTTGTGTTTATATTTTAACCTGTGTCTAAAATATTTGAAATTAGTATAATCTGAGCAAAGTAGTAGAGAAACATGAATACTGTTCAAGGTAAAGAACAGCTAATACCTTAAAAAATAACCTGTAGAATTAGTAAACAATGTGCAACAGACTTACTATTTAAAAAGCTTAACTAAAAATTATATTGTGTTGAATTTAGCGAAAGTCATAGCAACAATGGCGCTGCGTATTTAATGTCACAATTTAGATATTTTTAGAAACGTATGTAATTTGTCTGGTTCTATTTTGAAGTAATTATGAGCAGGACAGAACTGATCTCTAGTATGTCCTACTGACCCCAAATATACTCTCAACCATGACACTCCTTAGAGTGACCTTGTCTGAGGTCTACAGTTCTATCCATCTGTGTCTTCATTAAAGGACTGGAGAAATGTGAAGCATTCATCACATCCCCTTGCTGAGTGCCTCAGTAGTTCAGAGGACACATATGACATGCTGGAGTAATAAGCAATTACGCATCTTTTTGCTTTATTATTGAAAATGTTGTCAAAAGTTATGTCATGAAATATTAAGACTGATAATTTAGATGGTATCTTGAAACATTCAAATTACTCAAATACCTTTACCTAATAGAATTAGAACAAAAGACAACTCCAACCCCACACAGTGTTTATAAACAGCTTCCATAAAACCCAATGTCTCAAGCATATAATGAATAAACTTTCAAGGAATGTCACTTGTAGGTAAAATTAGGTGTTTGAGAATCCTGAAGAATCATAGTCCCAGAGAAGTCATAGCTGTGATAACAAAGATGCTTATTCCTCTGGGGTCATATTTGTGTCCACAGTGGCAGATACAAAGCAAAGACTGATGCCTTTGAGAACATATTGACATTACAATCATAAGAAAACTACTATAAACAAAAAGTCCTATGTTATGGGTATAGTTGGGTGACAAGCCCTCAAAAAGCCAGGCCTACATTGTGAAGGAAAATGCTGTGGTATGAAGTATTATCGTGTTCTTACTCTATTCCCACAATAACAGCACCAAGCTTGTTTGCTGTCAATCTGTTCAGGTCATCATAGGCTGACATCTCTGAAACAAAAGAAATGAATTTAGAATGGTGCCCTGTAAATAGAAAACAGTGGGAACCCAGCAACACTCATGAATGTAATAGAAATTACCGCTGATTGACGGAAACTCAGCAATCTCCACATTTATTATCACATACATCAACACTCTGTCAGAGTCCAGGAAGAAAGATAGTCTACAACTTACTACTGTAGCACAAAGACAGTTGAAGTAGAGCATGGAAGTCACTACTGTGGGATATTTGTATTACTTGTCTTCTTGTCTTATCTATTCCCCCCTTTAATCTTTGAGAAAAGAATAAGATGGCATCGATAAGGAATTCACACAATCCATTAGGAATCAGGTATGTATCCCAGTCTGCAGTTGAATTTATTGAACATAAATTCAGCAACAATGCTAGAGATGGAAAACAGAACTCATATCTATGAGATGGACATGGGGACTAGGATGGAAACAGTGAAGAATAAAGCAGAAGAAAATGTAGGATTAACACCTAAAGAATTAAATAATAAAATATGGGGATTATTAATATTTGTAAAGTCTAAACAATAACTTATTACCACATGGTTTTAGTGGGGGTTTTTTTGTTATTTTAAAGCTGTAGTTGCAAATGAATAGATAAGGTTAAGGAGAGAAAGGAAGAAGAAATTTCTTTCAGTCAAAGTAACAGTAGAGAATATTAGTATAGCAGAGTGGCCATTTTCAGATTACACAGTTTCAAAAAGAATCAGAAGAGAAACAGACAGATCGTACAGTAATTTGAAACATCTCATAAAATAAAACATGGTAGTATAATAAGTAGGAAGAGCAATGGGGGTCAACAGAGGTCAAGGCAGAAAAAACAGCTCATACTTAGGAGTAAACAAAGGGGGTAAAATTGCAGGTAGAAGGAACATGAATCAGATGATGATCTGGAAGGAAATATCCCAAGGAAAGCAAAGAGACTCATCTTGACCAAAAGATAAATCTATCTTTGCCTAGGATGAAAATAGAGCGTAGTGAAGAAGGGATTAATAAGATGCGAGGAAGACACCAGTAAGTGTGAGATGGGTAAGGAGAGAAGGGGGCTGGGAGATGCCAAACATATGGACTTATATGTTGGAAGGAGTGGGTAAGGTTGGAAACAGAGTGACACAGAGGGACTAAGAGCTTCTGAGAGGTGGCATTATTCCAGCCACAGTGAGAGCTTGGATGGTCTGGAGCAGGAGCCCAAAGCCCTGGTTTCTACTGATAGGACTGTTGCTCCCTCCTCTTTCAAGCTCTTTGAAAACATTCCTTAATCGTTTGTTTCTGCAAAACTAAAACGCTGATGATAATGCCCTATCTAAAAAAGTCTTACTCAGTTGGCTGCCCAGTTGAACACAGTAGTATTATTGTTTATCTTGAAAGGTTCGCAGTTCACAAGGACAAAATACTGGATATGGTAATTAAGCTACAGGTTCTTTGAGGGTTATCACTTGTTTCAAAAGTACACAGTATAATATTCCAACGTTTTGATGCATAGTGAATCCATAAGTCATCAAAAGTCTAAAATGGTGTGTGTGTGTACCTGTGTGCGTGTGTGCCTGTCTGTCTGTCTGTCTTAGCTACTCCACTCATCTAGAGACAAGAACTGATTGCTCAGTTTTACTTTATTTTATCATTTTGACACATAATTATGCTTTGGATTCTAAGCCTCTACATTATTGTTATATATCAGTCTACTACTTGAACATATGCTAACTGCAATATGACGGCAATCATATTTTTCAGTCTCAGCAGTTAAAAATCCTGGTTCACAACAATGTTTATTTTATTTACGTGATTAGGTTATTTTAACCTAATTCCCAAGTTTATTGGTTGAATTTTCAAGCCTAGGATATCAATATGTTTATTTTAAAATATATTTTTTAACAAACCATCTTAATTTCTACTTATTGTTTTAGTTACCAAATTGTAAATGGAGAAATATATGTGATCCATGACCCATACATCCCACTGTGTCTTTGCTAAGATGCATATATTCCCTAAATCAACATTGTGCTGACAAATACATTGTCAACTTCTAGGTACATGGTGTACAGCAATTCTTTCAATATGAATATATAAAAACACACACACATACTTACTGCAACTTCCCAAGACAAAGGCACCACCATGAATGAAAATTATAGCTGGTCTCTGTATTTCAGACTTCCTTTTTGGCAAGTACAGACGGACAGGAATGTCATTAAAGTTTGTGTCAACCACTGTAATGTTTTCATCTGAAACTGGTTCTGTAAATTGAAGTGCTGTTACAGTAAAAAATACTTCTTCATAGTTCATAAGACCTATGTTTTCAAACAATGTGGCCTATAAAAATAAAAAGAATTAAACTGTACATTTTTAATTTAATAATAATAGATACACAGAGATGCAATGATAAAAAGTAGACAATGTGATCATATTCTAAAGAACAGATTTTTATATCTGCATGTTATTTTGGTAGCATGGAAATCAGTGTGGTTATCAGCATCAGACCTGAACAGGATTGAGTGACCAAGAATTTGTCTTCAATAAGAAATGGGTCATTAAAATACCATCCCTTTCTGAGAAAATATTGATAGTTATAGATTAATAAGGAGGAGTTTTTTCTTGCATAGCTGTTAATAAATTACCATTGCTATAGTAAACAATCCACTAAAACAAACTGAAAGAAAAAATGATCATCTCATTATATGCAGAACAGAGCTTTAAAACGATCCAACACCTCTTTATGAAAATCCTGGAGAGATTAGATATACAAGGGGTATTCCTAAACCTAAGAAAGGCAGTTTATAGAAAGTCTACAGCCAACATCAAATTAAATGGAGAGAAACTCAAAGCAATGCCAGTAAAATCAGGAACAAGATGAGGTCATTAACTCTTTCTATTCAATATAGCACTTGAAGTCTTAGATAAGGCAATAAAACAATTGAAAGCCATCAAGGGGGTACAAATTGAAAAAGAAGAAGTCAAAGTATCATTATTTGCAGATGATATGACAGTTTACATAAGTGAGTATCTAAAAATTCCGCAAGGGTATTATAGCTGGCAAATATTTTCAGCAGAGTGGTTGGATACAACATTAACTCACAAAAAATTCAGTAGTCCTTTTATATACTAATGACAGCCTGAGAAAGAAATCAGGGAAACAACACCCTTCACAGTAGCCACAAACAATATATAATAACTCAGGGTAACTCTAACCAAGGAAGTGGCAGATTTGTGTAATAAAATCTTCAAATCATTGAAGAAGATACAAGAGGCCATAAAGATCATTCATGATCATGGATAGTTAAGTTTGGCATACTAAATATCCTACCACAATCAATATACAGCAGAAACTCAAATGTCTGAAAAACACTTAAAGAAATGGACAACTTCCTTGGCCATCAGGAAAATGCACAGCAAAACTACTTTGAGATTTCCTCTGTCAGAATGGTTACATTCAACATCATGCTGACAAGTACGTGGAGTAAGAGAAACACTCATTCATTGCTGATAGGAGTGCAAATTTGTACAGTTGCTGTGGAAATCAGTGTGGCTGATCCTCATGAAGGTGGGAATAGATCTACCTCAAGATTCAGTTATACCACTCTTGGGCATATACATTACCACTGAGAAAAGAGAAACAAATTAGTTACATAAACTGTTGAAGCTCTATTCTCATTTTCTACTTACATGGGAAGGTGTTCGCTTTAGGGAGAGGAAAGGAAGTACACCCAGAGAAAGGAAGGAGGTACAAGTGATCTGCTCGGGGAAATGGAAAATGGGGAGGGAAATACTAAAGAAGCAGGGATGTGGATAAAATAACAGTAAGGATATCTGAAAATGCCACAAAGAATCATAGCTATTTACACATAAATCTGTAGTACACATAATTCTGTGAATAAATACATATCTAAAATTTTAATTAACTTTTTTGTAGGGATGCCAATGATCCCTTAAAGAGTCAAACACTACATAACCAAACTCTAGCTTAATAAATGAGAAGCTCTCTTTTGACTTGTTGAACAGAGTGGTCCAAGAGACTTTCAAAACCTTCCCTATTGTCATTGTCCGTGTTACTCCTAAGAATGGAAAGTAATATTCTGTCGCTGAAGACACTATGACTATCCGAAACAGGGCCCAGAGAGCTTTAAGCTGGAACTGATCTGAATGTCACCTCCCTGAGAACTAGATTTCATTGCACACAAGGCACCACACAGGGTTCCAAATGAGGAAGGCAAGAAAGAATCCTACTCACATATGATGCCTATAAACCACATCAACTGTCAGCATGGCACAAGGACCACCTAAGGGTGGTGGTGGCACACATACCTTGGCAGTAGCTAATAGCTCTCTGCCTCTCTAATTGGACTTAAGAACAACTCACTAATAGAGAGACCTTGCAAACTCCTCAGTACTAGTGAGGACATGAAGACATGAATCTAGGAAGAGAATCTTCTTAGCTAGTGCAATTCCTACCAACAGTCTAAATTGTGAGTCTTATCCTCACAGATACTCGCAGTCTTCACACCTCATCAAGGAAACTTCTCATTGTCACATATGGAGACCACTAGAGAAAACCACAACCAATCAAAGGAAGAGTTGTGGAGCCGGTTCCCAGTGGATGCATCTACAGACACTCCCATGCCTAAGTGTTAAGGAACACTGAGGAAAAGGAGGTGGAAGGATTTAAAGAGAGAGATCAGACAGTTTGTTGTGAGATTGTTTGTCCTAGTAATGTCAGAATCTTCACCAATAAAGGGTCTCTCCAGTATGTCTGTCCAACAAGGATAGCACAAGTAGACATGCTAGCATACAGTGTAGACAGGCTGTACTACTGCTGTACTTTGTATATCTTTTACTCTGGATCACAAGGCCTCAAAAGCACACAAGGAACTATGGGCAACTGAGGAAGGCTGAGTACAGGAGAGGCGGTCATCCCTAGCAAAGGCCACATGAATTGCTTATCCAAAACCAAATGGCCAGTCCTGAAACATAATATACAAGTACCGTTATTCAGATTGAATAGGCTATATTTAAGAATATAAATGTATGTAAAATGAATATTCATGCAACAATAATGAATATGAAAAATAATATGAGGGAACCTGCTGGAGGCCAAGTAGGTGAGAAAAAGCAATTATATTATAATCTCAAAAATATAAAAGCAAAGCAAAAATAAAGCTTACATGTGTCTGTCAATCTTACACTGTATATAATGTGAGTGGATTACTTTTGTTTATCTTATACTGTATATAATGCGAGTGGATTGCTTTTGTCTATCATATACTATATATATAAGGAAGGTGGATTGCTTTTGTCTATCTTATACTGTATATAATGTGAATGAATTGTTTTTGTTTATCTTATACTGTTATATAATATGAGTTGATTTCTTTTGACCATCTTATACTGTGAGTAGATTGCAGCTGAGTTCTTAATCATTTATTAGTATTTATCAGGTCTGTTAAATTTATTTTAAAATCTACTTTTTATGGAAACTATCTAAGCTATTATAATTCAATTTTGGCAATGGATTTTTTCTCAATTACTAGGGTGACCATTTAAAGAATCATATTTTGATCCTCTATGTGCATATGTAAGAAGAGACACATATATTTGTATGAGTCATTCTATTTTGAAATTGATATACTAAAGGTCAAATTCAGCAATTGTGTGTTTTCAGAATACATTCTTATTGATGAGAAGGTGTCAGTTTTGAAGTCCAGCTATTCATGAGTGACTCAGAAAAGATATAGCAATTTCTCTACTGAATTGTGGATTTGTAGGGAAAGAAAATGGTTCCAGGGTGACCCAGCAAATGTCAGACTCTGGGAATAATGTGTGAGATGTCAGATGGGAAATCAGACAGCCCTTCTGCAGTGTGTTGGATAGCATTTCTCTCATCTGCCACACTTTTGTATCTCCGGCATTCATTGTGTTCTCCTGCTTCTGCCTAAGCTTCCTCTTATCTCTGTACCCATAAGGCTTCCAGACTAAAACATAGCTTGGCTAAGGGCAACCTAGTGTGCCCTCTGTGACAGACTTGTGTTCAAATTATATCATTACCGTCAAAAAAATGTCTGAACTCCAGCAACCTAGACCTCAGGAAAGATAATAACAGCAGCAGGTCACAAGAGGTGGCTTTTGAGCTGTTGTGGGTGTCTGCAATGTGTCAGGGTGCATGTCAACCTACTCGGCTTGTAAGTACACAGTGTAGCTTTCCAGAAGATTCCAGATAAGAAATCTCAACAGACTATTGTAATCCCAGACAGGAGAGTCACACACAAACATAGTTAAGGAGAGCTGAGAAAATAGAATATCACTATCACTTCTGGATGTTACTAAAACACATTTCATCGAATTGGAAATATATTAGTTTTATTAACTTACATTGACAACGTCACTATCATCATAGGAAAAATTACCCACATAGTTAATATTGGCAATATTAGTTATTAGGCCCCAAATCAAATTTATTTGGAGGTCTCAGTAACACAAAGAATATGCAATGTTTCTGTGAACAGAAAGTTTGAGAGTTACATTAAAAGAGAAAAATAGCTAGAACAACAGTGATTAAAATTTACCAAAATATTAAACTTGATGGAGATAAATTGAGAAATATCCAGAGAGCATATGAGTCTAGGTATTGTCAAAGGCATCAGATGTATCCAAGGTTTCTAACAATTCCCAGATATTCATTTCAGACGATACTACTTCCTTTATTCTGATGCTGCAATATCACAACACTCAGTGTTTTAGCAAACACTGTGGGTCCCTCTGCTTGTAGAGAGTTCAGCCTGTGAGCGATTAAATAAACATCAAGAGTAACTGGTTTATATGTCATAATGAAAACTGAAATCACTTTCAAACACATTGAAATAAAATAAGTTTCAAATAGGCTTATAGCATGGCAACCCAATTCCCCAGTAAAGAATACATTACCACAAGTGACGTCATTTTTATGACAGCATTCACGAATCTCACTTTCCAGGGTTCTTCAATATTCTCTGGAACAGGAGAATAAACCGAGTAGGCAAATAGAACACAAGAGAATCCGAAGCACAGAGTTTTGTACCCCATGATAAATCTTTTCCAAACCTGTGTGTCGTGATAGTCAACAGCATCTCATATATAGACTACAGAGCAGTAAGGTAAAGGTAGAAGGTGAGCTGTTTGAAGCAAAAGGATGGTTTTAGCAATGGCGACTTGACATTCAGCTGTAAGATCAAGCCACAGTTGAAACCAGTTACGCAACTGTGTACAGCTCGGTGAAACAGAATTTACTACAAAATATAGAATAAAGAACGCAGCAATGGCAAGAGCATTATGAGAGCAGTGAACTCCCCCGTCACCACATAACGTCACAAGAGCAGAAGCATTTAGGACCCTAGTTAAAGCACACCAATAAAAAGACGAAGAGATCCCTTCGCTCTTTCACCATACTACAAAGAATAGTGACGCCACTGTAAAGCAAGATAAAATGTTAGGTAACATTTAACTAACCTTAAGGCTAACACCCACAACGCATGTCATTTAGAAAATTCAGATCTACCCTGACAGTGCTTATTAGAGGCAATTACAAATGAAATTGCTATTCTTTGACAAGCTAGGAAACAATTGATCTAAATGATCAAATTTGTATGCAGTTCACCATCTATTAAACTTAAAATTTGTAGATGTGTATCTTATATAATCATAGAAAATCTGTAAGTTGATTAATCAAACACATGTAGCTTCCTGGTATTCCCTATATTCAGATTAGACAGAAGATTTTAAAATTGAGTACAGCTTGGCAATTGTCTATTCCTTTGTGAAAATTCTTCTCTTACCCATGTTCTACCAGTTATACCATAGAATATCTTCCTCAGATAAGGATTCTCCCACCTTCTTTGCTAACTTCTGGGCAAAAGCTGTCTCTGGCACTCTTTACTGTTTCATGTCGTAACCCAAACTTAACTCAACTTGGTTTTGATATTGATCTGAATACCAGAATATTGGTAAAAAGTCATTCTCCAACTTTGGGAATTAGAACAACATGAATTGGGATTTAAAAAGGGGGGAGGGGGGACTAAGGAGGTTGCAAAGAAGCAGAAGGGATCAATTCCACATGTGCATTCTGGAAACACCAATCCACCATTTACAATCTCGGGTTCTTTTCACATGTTCCTCCACCATCTCTGCTCTGAACTGCAGAGAACTCATGGAATTCAGTGAACCTTACCCTCCCTCCCATCCAGTCAGGTAAGCTCCATTTACCCTCAAATTTTCAAAAACAGAATTATAATCAATAAAAAAGAAAGAAAAAGCTTTTTAACTGTCAGGCTTCTGAAATCCCATATTTTCTCTTAATAGGAAAGAATATAAAGAAGCCATAAAATTAAAGATTTGTTCAATGGTTTTAGTAAAAACAAATTCAAAGACATGACGGGAATGCCAATAAACCTTATTTCATGAGAATCAAGAAAAAAATTAAGGTAAATGTAACAAGACATATGAGACATGCTTTTGTCCATTGTTTGTGGTTCATGGTTTATGTCTCTCACAAACACAAGAGAGAAAAAGTAAAGAGGGAACTGGAAGAGATTGAGGGTGACTTCGAGTCAAACTGGCAGAAGACACAAACGACACAAACCCACACTCCAACATCTCAGTGAACAGCAAGCAATATAAATACAGAAGAATCCACAACAGACTCGCAACTGCTGACAAAACAAAGACAAACCCTTGTAGTAAGCAGAATTTCAAGATAGCTTGTAGGCAGAGGTCGCTTGTTTATTTCCGGCCACCCAGACCCAAAATAATCACACTAAAATTATATTAATTGCAACACTAGAATATTCCTAGCTAGCTCTTACATTTTAAATTAACCCATTTTAAATTAACCCATTTCTATTAAATGGTGTATCACCACTTGGTTGTGGCCTAAGATACGGTTCCATCTGGCGTCTGTCACCTGTGGCGGCTACATGGCGTCTCTTTGACTCCACCTATGCTCTCTCTCTATATATATTGTCTAGCCTGGCGATATTCTGTTAAGTCATTGGATGAAAGCAGTTTCTTTATTAGCCAATGGTAATAAAACATATTCATAGCATATAGAGGGAAATCCCACATCAATAGCTCAAGAATCCCAGTCACTGGGAGACTCATACAGTCTAGTCAAACAAAAATCTTAGTGCTTAGTGAAAAAAAATTATAAGAGAAATGAAGTTTTCAAACAAGGTTTTGTTTTTTTGTTTTTTGTTGTTGTTGTTGTTTTTGTTGTTTTTTGTTGTTGTTGTTGTTTTTTTTTTTTTTTTTGCCAAGTGACTAGATAGGTTAGCTTAACCAATCACATGATCCCTTAGACATGTGAGACAAGCCTGAGAGGGGAAAGAGGGAGGCCATGTGAGAGGCTCTCAATTGCCCCTTGAAGTAAAGAAGGTTGCATGGCAGCCTTTAAAAGAGAGAAAGCTGTTCCCAATCAAACAACTGAAAGAAACAAAACAAAACAAAGTTAAGTCAGGCAGGTGGATGCAGCTGAAATCCCAGCAATAAGGAGTTCAAGGGAAGAATTTTGAGTTCACTACCAATCTGGACAGCAAGCCCCAGGGTAGTCTGACTATGGGGCAAGAACTTTCCCAAAAATGTAAATGAGGCAAGAAGATAGGGGAAGATGGGGGGGGGGGGAACAGTAGGAGTGAGAGGAGTCTGGGCAAAGAGGGAGAGAGAGGAGGGAGAGAGAGGAGAGGGAACTAGGAAATGTCCTTAGACAGGAAGAAGCCTTAGATCTACAGCCATAGAAAACTACAGTATAATATCCAAAGATCCGCACCTAGCAGCCCACTTCTGCTAGCTGGTTTTTATCCCCCATCAGTCCCTGGCTTCTATTGCTACCAGCAATACTGGAGTGATGTTCTTGGGAATTTGAGCATTTTCAGGCTAGGCTGAAGCTGCAGGGCTCTGAGTTTTCACAAGAGGTTAGGAGGGCATCCCAGCTGCTGGTGTAAATCTTTGATCACTGCCAGGAATTTTCCTGCAGTTCCCATTGCCCCCAGTTGATAAACAAAGTGAAGCTGGCACTAGGCTGTCAGGAGGCAGAGTTCCTTTCAATACCAAGAAAATGGGGTGCTGGGGTGGGGGGGTAAAAAGTCAGATCTCACTCCTCTCTCATTGTCTTTCCTCCAATGTATGATTCTGGGATGTTCGTCTAACATCAGGAGGATATAGTGGCATGAACCAATTCTTGTGGTCTTATAATATTTTATCCATGTGTCTGTTTTTAAATCAGTATCAGGAATATTTCATTCGTATGACTCTGTACTATAAGAAATCTAGCGTGGGGATTTCTCAAGCAGTATTTTCTTCTCTAGGATTGTTTTGGCTATACAAGATCTTCTGTGCATCCCAAGTCATTTTTTTCTCTACCTCATTGAGAATTTACACTGGAATTTTTATTGGATTGTTTTCAATCTATATTAGGGTTTTGTATCATATTTATTAATATTGATTATGGATATCCATAGCCATGTTTTTTTCCAGTTTTTAATGTCTCCCTCGATTTCTTTCTCTAAAGTTTAAACATTTCCATTGTAAAATCTCTCATTTCTGCTTCTAGATGAATTCCAAGGTAGTAACTTCACAAGTTATCGATGATGAGATTATTTCCACAATTTACTTCTCAAGGTGTTTTCATTTTTATAGATGGAGGTCTACTGGCTTTGTATTTTAATTTTGTCTCCTGTCATTCTTTTACATACCCGTCATGTCTTAGTGTCTTCCGATGGAGCATAAGTTGCTCATGCCACCTGCAAAGACTAAAGCTTGACTTCTCCTTGCCATTGACCCTTATTTGCTTATCTTGTCTCTTTGCTCTAGGAAAGACTTTCAACACTGTACCAAATGAAATGGAGAATTTGGACAACCTGACCTTTTACTCAAATGATGGTAACTGACGTTTTAGCGCATACATCTTTTACTATGTTAGATATGTTCTTTCCCATTTGAATAATATTATTGTGAAGAGTGTTGTTTGGTCAGAAGCTTTTCCTACTCAGAGAAAATCCTACAATTTCTTTTCTTAAATTCACTTATGTTTTCTGGTATATATATATATATATATATATATCCACAGCCTCACATCTGCAAAGGAGCCCCTTTGTTGTGAGTGAACTTATTGATGTGTTCTTGAATTTTGTTTACAAATATTTTGTTAATATTTCACTGTGAATATTAGTTTGGCATTTTCTTTGTTCATGGAACCTTTAACTGGTTTTGGTATCAGGACAATACCAGTGTGCTATTTGGTCTGTAGCAACTTGGCACAAGCTATAGTCATCAGGGCAGATAAAACCTGAATTGAAGAAATGTCTCCATCACATTGGCTAGTAGCAGTAGCCTTATCTATGAAACGTCATCTTGATTAGTGATGGGGCGGGGACAGACTACTGTGGGCCTTGCTATCCCTGGGCAGGTTGTCTTGGTTTGTATGAGAAAGCAAGATAAGCAAACTGTGGAAAGCAAGTGAGTGAGCAGGTGTTCCTCCATGGTCTCTCATTCAGTTCCTATCTCCAAATTTCTGTCTTGAGCTCTTTTTTGGCTTCCTTTAAAGATATCTATAGCTTGAGCATTTAAATAAACACACACACACACACACATTTCTTTTGTTCTTTTGCTACATTTGTTGTTGTTGTTGTTTTCTCCAGAGCAACAGAAAGCAAAATAGAACAAAAAAATTCAATCCCTGAGTCGGATATTTCTGTGTTATTTGGGAACTGAG